CACGCGTTATGAGCAAATACGCAGTGCTAATATTTGCACGAATACTCATACAAATTCCCGAGTTAATGTTTACCCTCCTTGGATACGGAATCAGGATCCTGACAACGTAGCACCTACGTTATACATACGAATATCACTCTATTTTGGGTCTTTAAACATTGTTCTTCTACGGTGCGCTGTCTTCCCTGTGTATTCGTCCCTCGTCTAATGGAAATTATCACTTCCACGAAGTGATATTTGAAAATTAACCCAAGGCTACAGATTAGACGTAATTAAATACACATACCTTTTAGTTCTCGAGGAGTGTTTCAAGATTTCGGGAACCTCGGTTAAATAGCTCAAAATATTGCCTGAAGAAAATTTATTGCAATTTCAGACTTGCTCTTTCACTGATTCACGTATATCTATGTACATACATACTACAGGAAGTGTACGACACTCGTATCTCTACAAACCCTTCGACCCTTCTAAATGCTACATAAAAATTTACTGTAATTATACTGTCGTAAAAGAAATTCAAATGTTCATACTGATTGTGAGCCACGTAATAGAGCGGTGAATCGTACGCGAAGATGCCAGTCAGACTGCATTATGTAACCACGTAAAATCAAGAATGAGAGAAGCCCGAACGAACGCGAGGCTGTTCGGCCGGCAGTTCTGAATAACTGCATTCAGTCAGACTGCATTATGTAACGACGTAAAATCAAGAATGAGAGAAGCCCGAACGAACGCGAGGCTGTTCGGCCGGCAGTTCTGAATGAAAATAAAGATAACGCTTCGTCATCGAGTGCCTACGCGAATCGAGTACGACTGCGGCTGCGACGGCGGCAGTCGCGTTTCAGCGTTTTCGGATTTGCACGGCGATGCCCACGCGCGTCCTGCCTTTTATTCGCTGTCGCTTTCGCATCGGTCCCGGCGCGGCGTAAGGCGGCGAGAAAACGAGAAGGGAAGACAAAAAGCGAGCGTGTACTGTCTATTGACGGCGCTGCCCACGCCCGTTCGCCCGCGCGCGCGTGCATTCATCGAACATCAACCGAGTACCGGCACAGGTGCGCGTCTCTTCTGATCCCTCTTGTGCGGTAATTTCGCCGACCTTTTCACTCCTTCCGGCTATGCATGGAAAAGTTTTCCCATTTTCAAAAGATAGAGAGCATTTTCATATCCTCGTATCTTGTTAATCATTCAAGTATTCGTAAACTTGTTTATATCAACGATAGTCCTAAAGGTTTTAGTCGAAAGTTGACATCGTATGTTCTAGTTGTTTCGAACGGAGCTTGGGGATACGTCTATGACTACTTTCTGTGAAATTCAAGGCGAATGTAGTAATGCAAGCTCATTAGACGGTATAAATTCCTTACGCTTTGTAGAAAAGCTAATGCAAAAACCGTTCCATTTGTTTAAATTGAAAGTTTCTACCGGTGTATATGTATAGTCCGTGCGAATGATTTTCGAAGTTCCAAGAACGTCTGCTTCGCCCGAGACAAGCGGAATTTTGAAATCTTCGATCCTTCTTCGTAAAAGTTGAACTCCGCGGCTCTGTGTAATTCATGGACTTAAGATTTTATATCGGCTTAGGAAGTTCATAGTCCCCGCGAATCCCATAACCGAGAAACTTACGAAGAGACCCGAAGAGAAGTTCGAAAATTGAAAGTTCGCGATCCTCGGAACACTTTTGAAATTTTGAACAGTTCATTTGTTTCAACCGTACCGCAAGACCGTTCGGCAAACTTCGAGGAGTCAGGAATCTAATTAGGGATCCCACAAGTTCTCGCGATCGTTGCCTTCGATGGTCTCGAAGATTCCTCCAACGTCGGGTATCTTCGGAAATTCGTGAATCAAGGAACAACCCTACGGTTTATGGCGTGTATCGAAGTAAAATGTTTGATTTTAAAATAAAGATTTTGCGTCGTTACACTGACAATTGCCATAATATTATTAGGATGGAATTTTGCTCCTGCTCGGTAATGTCGTGAACCGAGAAATCAAGAGAGACCGAATAAGCCGGCTAGTAGGTAATTGGCATCGGTTCGCGTGTGCGTACACACGAGTACCCACGCTTATTTTCGAGCAGATATTCAGTGAACGAAGGAACGATTTTTCAACGAGTTCGAACCATGAATGGGCGGTCGGTGTTACAGACGAGCAGGGAGCCTTCGTTTTTTCGTCGGGTTTGCCGATGCTTGGCGCCATACCAGGGACGTTGCTTTTCTCCACGGATAAAAAGTCGAGAGACGTTCGGGAGGAGGGTCGACGTTACGCGACAGAATCGGAGAACCGTTTGCGATCTTGTTGATCGATCTATGCACGATTCCCAGGAAATTGCTGAAGATCGTATCCAGGATAAGAAGAGGCAAAATTCTTTTTATAGACGAATAGTATGCATTTACTAATATAAGTATCGTGGAATTCCTGAATAATATTGTTTTGGAATCGTCTTTATTCGCGTGACGATCCGTCCGAGAAATATTTATGAAACACGATGTCCAAATGTCGTTGATCGAACATTATTGCGTAATCTTCCGATCAAAAATCTCGTTTCGTTTTGTTGCTGTAGGTATTCAGCGATTAGGCTACTTCATAGAAAACCGATATCAACACTCGATAAGGTCCAAATTCCCGACAAGGAACAAATAACTGTCGTGCACGAAAATTATTCGCGCCAGCTCGTTCAGCGGATCGTTCTAAACTCGAGCCTAACTTCCGCGGCGAGTCGAAACAGTTTGAGGCTTTTAGGTCTGGTCCGTGGCTCGAGTTGCCGGCGTTAAATTTCACATTGGGGAGAAGCATCGCCGGGACGGGGTGCAAACCCTACTAATGCCTCGTCATTACGATACTCTTGGCGAGTTAATAACTCGGTAACAGCTGAAGGGACACGGGTAGTTTGTCGAAGTAGACAGATTACACGCGTTAATTAAGTCACGTTGTTGAACAACAGTTGTTCAGAATAAGATGAACTAAATTATACACCGCGAAGTTCAATCGGACTAAATCATCAGACTATCATACAGTATATCAAGATAATTTTCCTATCATGCTAATGTTCCTCAGTGTCAAATAACGTCAAAAAAATATTATCATTAACAAAATCTTCACATTCCCTTTAATGGTAATTCGTTTAACTTTATACGATGTAAAGTCTTTTGTAAAGCCGTTTACACACGTAGGAACGTAGCTTTAGTCTAAACCGAGGATTTCGAGGCAATGAGCGTCACCGTGTAAACGTGTCCCCGCCGTCGCCTGTAATTTCCTTTCTCGATCATGATAATTGCGTCCTAACGACAGGCTAATTTCGAAACGCGGCTCCGTTTCGCGCGGCTAATTCGACTCGGTTCGCATTGTCTCTGCGCCCACAAACCGAATAAATATTTACGAGCGGCTTGTTCGACTTCGTCCCGGCCCGCCAAGTTATCTACAGATACCCAGTACATGTATTGAAAAGGCACCTTGGAGGGTTCTATTCTTCTATTCCGCTAGGGGAAGAAAGGCGACGCGAAAGCGCGTTAGCCGCCACTACGAACAGAGTCGTTTCTGATACGGTGCTGCTCTTATGATGACTCGATCGCGTGGGATTTGAATCGCGGCAATTCGCGAACCAATCCATAGGCAAAAGTTCGTATCGATAGCATACGAAATTCCAAGATATTAAAAGCGTCGACCTTGATTCTCACGAATTTATTACAATATTTCGCCGAACGAGAGAGGTCAGTGAAAGGAGGAACTGCATTTAAGACGAAGAACATCGTGGAACAAATGTCAAATGAAACCATTGTGTCAATAGCGTGGAGGCACAATAGGCAGAAAGTTCAACTAAAAGTTTCCGTGCTATGAACGCGCGTGCAAACAGAGACTCCTTCGTCGCTTTGTCCAAACTGGTGGCAGAAAATGTTTCGAAAGGTGTACCGCAGTTTCCTCGACTCAATCTGTCCTCCAGCGACATTATTTTCTCTCGGGGAGTCGATCGGCTGGTATCTGTAAATTGTCCGATAAAATGACGTCCGGCGTCGCGTCGGGAACAGGTGAAAAATGACAAAAGCAAACGGAGCGGTCGATTCGATTGGTTGCCATCGCGTATGCTTCTCCTTCTCTCTCTCTCTTTCTCTTTTTCTCTCCCCCCCACCTCTATCCAGCTACTTTTGTTCGAGAAATTGTCATTGCCAGTCCTCAAGCAGAAGTCTTGTCTTTGCTGGAGGCGGTTCTGTTAAGTGCACAAATAGTGTCCAGTTACGACATAGAGAAGTAAACGAAAAGAGATTAAGCGGACAGCAACGATGGGAAAAGGACACCAGGGTGATCTTCGATCAGGAGTGTCGTAAAATGCTAATCGCCATTTATTTATGCTCCCCGGGAGTCTTTAATGGCTGTTAGAGCCAACAGTTGATTTTTAATTATGCCGATAAATATTTCGAATACGTCCGGGAGAGCCGGCTAGGTCTGTAATTGATTGTCGTGCCGTGATGCTCAGCTACCGGCATAAATAGGTGCCTCTTTTGATGTGCCTCGTCTCCCATCGAGAGATTCTGCTGATCTTATCGGGATAACGGGGCGACGCGAAGCCGCCGTCTGGCGGGCCGCCAATTGACATAATTTTTAGCCTCGCGTTTAACGTATTGCGCGAACCAATTGCCGATTCTGCAAAAATCCAATCGGTTTCCTCCACTGTCACGCGAGGGTTGCGTCCAACAGTTATCGTCGTATTCCCGCTGCTTTAGTTTCGGAACATATTCCTTTTTTCGGAATTTCTTCGTCCTATTCGACTAAAAATATTCACTATGACAGCATGTTTTGTTTTATGTATGAAGAATTGAACGTTGCACAAAAAAATATTTACCATCAATGAAAAATCTGATAAATATTTCCTTTCTAAAATTACTTAAGTCTCCTGGTATACAAGATAGAATTGTACCATGATAATACACAATAAAAAATTGACGGAATAATAGCACGTAGAATCGTTACCCCCATTTTATCATGGTATTGTTGAGAGCGGTTTTCAAACTCACCCCTGACGTTTGGACGATGCAGGCGGGCTTCCGGGACGATATGCACAACAATGACGAACGCTTGAAGCATCAATGGATAGAGCATGGTGGTGGCCAAGCAGGAAGTGTACCTTGTAAATATTATGTACACGACAACCAATTGGTCGACAAGCTTCCGCCCTTTAAGTTGTCACTCTTTGTCCTGTAATAAATATAAAATATTGCCTTGTGAGAGGATTCGGAAAGTTGGTTAGTTGAACATCGCGTCGTTGTTTCACGCATCTGTTCGTTGCATATTCTCCGTAATTATTATTGTCAGTGCATCTTGTCAAATGTTAGGTGTTATGATATACATACTTCTCGAGACTTTGTGGCTTTTGTAGTAAACATGTTTATTTGTTAATGGTATTCGATTATGTATATGTATGTAGGTAGGTATCTGATAATCGCGAGATGTCGATTTTTACAACAAAAACGCGATTCAATTTCGTTATTTACTAGAGAGTGTAAACGAAGACATAACATACGTATAACGAGAGAAGGCTGTACCGAGGCAAAATATAGTTGGGTGACGCGATAGAAAGCGGTAACGAGGGATAGTAAAGGAATATGGAATGATAATTGTGGTCTGACACGAAAACATTGGCGAATAATGGACCAAAAATGAAATTTCCCAATTCAGAGTTTCAGAGGAAAATGTTGCGGATGCTTTTGCAACAGCTTCGGTGTAAGATACGTACCTTGTTAAGCGAGATTTTCATGGTCCGGCAAGTAACGCTCGGTAGTTATGGTAATCGGATTTGGTCGGACCGTGCTGGTCCCATGATTGGACCTGACAACCGTACCGACCCTTTCTCATAGTTTCTCACCGAATACTCGGATTTACTTCATGCTATGATTTACGCCTGCTCCCACGAATTATTAGTCTTGTGACTGTCGGTGAACTTCAATGCACGAACCGAATTGCAGGAACTGTCAGAGTGCCGAGAAGAGTAGGATCACCTCCGAATATCGAGAACCAACTAAATATGATATTGGATAGAGTTTGGTAGCAACAAATAAGCAATTGCTTAGGCCGACATTTGCGTGAATTTTAGTGATCAAAGTTCATCGATCGATTCTTGGATGTTTATCACTCGCTGCATACTACCCACTGTGATGTAAAGGGATTTTCTTGTACACACGCGTTGCTTCTTATCGCTACCGGCGGAAGGGAAATGTTTGGGTACACAGAATCGCCTGTAGGAAGTTTCATAGAAAATTTTAACCGCTAAGGCGAATAAATTAACCAGGCTTGAACGCCAGTATAGAAAGCCGTCTGTTGTGTCATCGTGAACGATGACTTCGAATAGCTCGTAACGCAACAGGGCAACGCGCCATTCATTTTCATTGATTCAATTAAAAATTAGCGATGTTACAGGGGCGCGGATGGTTTACCACTTTCCAGAACGCATAATTATAATTACGACGATAACGAGAAATGCTCGCGCGGTCCCATCACAATATCGATCCGATGGAATGCGAGCTTGCGTCGGCTGAAGCTTAAATAAACGCGTGGCTTGTTTCATTCCGATCGAATCTTTACGGTGAAACCCGTTTGCCGGATCGAAACGTTTTAACGCGAGCGTGTAGGTACGCGTTTAACGAACAAACGTCCCGTTCGTATCTGATGTAGCCGTCCTGTGTCGTCCGGATTGAGTCGTCGCGCGTGTAATATGCCACACAGGACGAGGACATCGTAGAAGATTAACGACACGAGCACCGTCCGATCACAACCGGAAATTGTCCCAAGTTCGCGTGCACAACCGTGCAACAATCATTATCTTCTGCCCGATGTTTCTCCATCCATTAATAATTTAAAACACAGTTCACCGTTACTCGAATAAACTTTCTTCTCCTTCTTCTTCTTCTTCTTCTTCGGTTCGATAAGATTACGCGAGCATGTAACCTGACCCTTTCTCTACGACGCGTTCATGGCCATATGTTAATAATAATGTAAATTTATTTTACGGGAAGTCCCTTTTGTTACATGAGAGCACTGTAAATTGTAAACTAGAAACGTTGTGCCCTTCTCAATCGCGAACAACGTCCAGAGACCATTTCTATTTTTCAACGTTCCCGCGCAATTATGGATACATTATCGGTGTTGCCAATGGCAACATTCAATTGGTTCCCATGCAGTTTCAAAACAAATGTTTGGCCAGAATTCTATCGTAATCTTACGACTGTAATACCAGTGTACGATCGAACCTTGATTTTCATTACATCTCTCTGTACCATTCAGCGATTGAATGTACCGACTATGTCCAGTATACGGTATTACGTCGATTGGAAATCGATCAGCGAACGTTATTTATTATCTACCTTCTTCTGTAGTCAATCAGTCGCATCGCGCATTCTGTATCGTGAAATTATTGTGGACAAGTTGGCAAGATTGTTTGACTCACGATACAAATTTTGAGTTGCACAGAAGAAGCTAGAGTATGTATAGCAAGCAGAGACTGACAGGGTCCATTCGAGAAAAAGTAGTATGTGGGCAGCCGACACAGACGACGACGTCGAGCCGCGCCGGCGAAGATGGCGACAACGCGAGAAAACGGTGAAGTGAGAGGCACCGGAAATGCGTTCGAATAAATGTCGGAGCGCGTGGGTACGCGCGCGTGCGAAAATGATCATACTCGAGGGAAAAGGCGCGAATGACCAAGGAACTCGTTCGAACGGGATTTACTCCTACGAATACGTATATCGACGCTCGCCTTCGACTAATTCGCTAATGTTAATGGTAGTTAATTGACAGGTTACCGAGACCGGAGCGCCGCAGTTATTTGAGACGCAAACGGAGCGACTATCTCTAGCATTGTGCAACAGACAGATACGCGACGCTGTTCAGAACAATTCTTATGGAAATCATTCGCGTTCAACGGATTTATTGTTTCTTCTTTTTAACGAATCCGTGGTCGAGCCGGTTGAACAGCGACAAAAATAAAAATAAGTAACACTGCGCGGGAATTGTTTCCATTAGGTGGACACCATGCTCCAATGAAGTTGCACACCTTTCAGGTTTCATCGTAAAAAAGGAGAGTCCATGCGCGCGGCAACATAACATTTTCATTCACAGACGATCGACGCTCGTTTCTGCGGGCATAATAAAGATGTCTGGCGAAGATGAATGCAGAAGTTTAATTAATATCGATGAAACGTAAGAAGAGGACGCACCGGTCAGAGAGATGCAGTGCTCCGGGCAATGATAATGAAGCCACTTCGTGTCAGACTACAATCGCGATTCCGTACTTTATAATCCCCCTTTCAGCGAAGCTTGATCAACTTATTCGCATGCAAAGATCCCTCGCTTCTCTTATTTTTCTTAGTTTTAATCTCGTCGCGAACGTTCGTGTCTCACCGCCGCTTTGCCCACTTTACTTCGTACTTGGCCCGTATTCTTTGCACTCCCGTTCGCGGAGGATCTTCAAATTAATTTACACGCGAGCGAATTTGCATCGCGTCTGGATGATACAATACACCCGGTAGTTCGTACATAATTCAATGCGCCGAAATGGCCGGTGGAACGGCAAAATGTCTCGTTGATGGAGACACGTACGACCCTGCCGAAAACGGCTGGTTACGACGAGGAGCGTCGGATAAAGCGTGATTCACGCCTACTCGGGACTTGGGACACGATGCAAATCGAAATTTCTTCCTTCCGTGCTTCTTCGCGAGACGATACGTTTGAATAGTTCCATTAGACGTTATGGTATCGTGGGATTTATCGAAATTCGCGAAGGAACGATGTTAAGAAACAGCAAACAGGAACGTTAACAATGAGATCGTTTTTACTTGTTTGGTAATAAATAACAACGCAAGCCCAAAAACAAAATCCCTCGGTAGGAGAAGTTCAGTAAAATATACATTGTTATTAGATTCCGACAATTGGTTCTACAATATAGGTATTATAGCGTGCTCTGCTTAATTGACGAAATAGGTAATTCTAGTTAATTCTGTCGATCGATTCGGCTGCTGAAGGAATGCAACCACGATTTGAATCACAGTTTTTAGTTGTTGCACAATTGAAATACATATGAACCGGAACCAATCGTTAAAATTTGATTTGTGTTTAATTATCAAAACATACAGAGAAGAGGTAATACAAACATGGGAGATTGAGTCACGCACCGTACTAACAAAATATCAGTCGGTCAAGCTTCATTGATCAGAAGTACCAGGAGGGGTGTGGCAAGAGTCGAAGGGCCAAGCGGCGTGGATCAGCCTTAAGAGTTCATCTCGATCGCGAGTACGGAGGCGACTACGTTGTCAGGTAAATATTCATGTGTGATTTATGCGAGGTATGCGGGCACAAAGCGCATGCAGCGCGACCGAGGCGCCTCTACCACGGTACGACTCATTGTTTCACGGGTGATGGATCGAAGTAGAACAGAAAGGTTATTTACGTTTTCAAATTAATCACGACCACTCGCTGTCGTCCGTCCCCGGAATGCCGTGACGCCCCTTTTCTTCGGGGACGCCGCGCCTCTTCGAGGGATCCTCGAACATCTAAACGCCGTTGTCATTGAATTTTTTCTCGAACATGGACCGTACACAAGCGTTTGTCTCGAAGTGAAATTAATGCTTTCGGATACCTGCGAACAAACAACATTGCGGGTGTGTGCACTGAATTCTCTTCCGTAGAAATTGTTTTCAAGCAGAAGCGTTATTCTCGCTGGCTTGTGCTTATGCATACAACGCTCGATCACCCATTAAGATATAACGCACGAATTTCGCATGTATAATTTATGCGATGTTTATCGCGCTTACGTAGACAATTATTTTCAGCCGTAAACGCGTTAACGCGAACGAAACGAATTTGCGCGTTGTTTGCTCTTTGGAATGTTATAGCGCATTTACGAAAGATGATTCGTCAATTTAATAGGCCGCTTCATTGGTGTATTAACACGCTATGAATATTAAATGAACCGTCGAAGCATGGCGTTCCGAGTTTCAGGATGTTTTCAATGTACACGATAGTGTCGGAAGTATGTTCTTGAATTTTTTTTTTCAAGTACGGGAAATGGATTTGTTTTCTAGAGAATAATGAATGTAATTAATGGTATA